TCTATTTAACCGAACTTAACCAAAATTTTGTTTCATCTAACCGAAAAAATAATTTCACCTAACCGAAAATTTTGACTTGATATATAAACGAATAACCCTAATTTTCTAGAAACAAATCTGTATCTAGCGGCGCTTTTCTCTCTCTCATCTCTCCTTGAACCTCAGCCACTTCTTCTGGACTGAGCGAAGCCACTCGCCGCTTCTTCTCGCCTGAGCTGATGACGTCTCTCTCTGCTCCAGTGGATCTCATTCTGAAGTCTACGCCATATTTTTTTGTTTTCAAAGAAATATAGATAGACTTCATCGTGAAGTCTACTCTCCAAATATTTTGAAAAGTCAATTGCAAAACTAGTCTGTTAGACTTCATTATGAAGTCTAACTCGCATCAAAAATATGAAATTCATTCAGATCTACCGGAATTTTACCTTGTCATGATTTTAAGTTTCGTTGACGGCCTAGAACTTTGATTTAGAGCTCCAGCAAACTTCCCCAACCGTTATAATGATCTCCCACACCAAAAATGGGAAGATCTAAGAACATAAACTTTGAAAAGATGAAAATGTGTGTTCTTAGGGTGAGAATGGAGAAGAAATTGAAGAATACAAGTTTATGAGATGATATAATAAGTTTGTATATATGTTTGAAGAGTAAATCATGCATTCAAAACTTGATTTTGGTTGAGAATGGCTGTTGGACGAATTGATGGTGATGGCATTTTCGTGAATAAATGAAGAAGATGAGGTTTCTTTAGACCCTTTTTTTGCGTATTAGACTTCACGGTTAGACTTCAAAGACGAAAGTAATGGCATTTTCGTTATTATCACAAATATAGTGAGGATAAAGAAGGAAGGAAAAAAAGGGTATTACTTTTGGATTTGACGCCAATTTGTGTACTACTTTTGAAAACAGCCCTATTTATAATGGTCCGAGGCAAAGAAAATTGAGAAAGAAAACATATAAATAAAAAACTAACAAAATAATTATCAAACAATTAATTAATTTTAAAAAATTATAATTGATATTCTAATTTTAAATAGTTTGATTTTCAATTTTTGTTAGGTAAAAAAAATTGAAATAAATATTTCATCAATTAAAATCTCTTGAATGGAATAATAAAAGTTTGATTAATTAATCAATTGATCAGATTTAGACATGTGTATGTCTTTCTGTATTGGATAAAAATAATAGTAAAACAAATTAATTCATTTTTTCATATCATAAATTACAATAAATTAATTACAATAAAAATGTAAAATTATTATCAATCTTATTTTATTTAAATATTTTTTATCGGGGTTTCAATATTATTTTGTTTATGTTTAAAAATGATCAAATTTTGTTTAATATTTTCCATGCTTTTATTATAAAATTTTAAAATATACCCGCGTATACGCGGGCCTTAACCTAGTTATTAATAAATAAGGTAAATTACATAAAATTGCAGGAATTAAAAGACGAGAAAAAACGCACATGTTTGAAAAAGTACATCACATTTGGAGCTCAGCCTTCTAATATATCATCAAACACAGGTGAGCAGTGGAGAACATTGATATCGTTTAAAGTACTTGGAGGTCCTAAAAATGCATGCCAAATCCAGAGATCATACGAAGCCAAGACCTCTAAAACGATTGTCGGATTTTGATGGCCACATGAATATTTTCCTTTCCAAACTGTAGGACAATTCTTCCACTCCCAATGCATAATACAATCAATGCTTCTTATCGACCCGAGAAGTCCACGAGACTCTCCAACATTGAGTAGTCGTTGGAGATCTTCTGGTGTAGGCCTTCTTAAGTACTCATTATGGTATAAAGTATATGATTCCATTCACAAAATTATGCAAGCATTTGAGCGCAGTGGTTCACCAAATCGAAGGTATTCATCTATCGCATCAGCTGCATTACCATATGCCATCATACGATTGGCAGACGTACACTTCTGTAACACGGATAGACCTATCTTCTCTATGTTAAAAGTATGGTAATTCATTGGATAAATTCTGACAGTGTGTAACATCCGCAAACCGATTTATCAGCTTCAGGAAGCTGTGTCGAGCGACACAGAGGAAGTGTGTCGGTCGACACATCGATTTTGAAATCAAACCGGTTTGATTTAAGTGACCGGTTTAGTGGTTTGGGTTGGAAAACCCTCGTTTCACGTTTAAGAACCTGTGCAGCCGCCTGGCTTCTCCTTTTTGTCGTTTAGCGGACGAAAGTGGAGAAGAGAAGAGATCTTAAGGCGATTTCCGGCGTTTGAGGGATCGATTGAGGCTTTTTGTCGTTGATTCGGAGATTGGGCTCGCGTGTGGTAGCTGCTGCGCGGTGGTTCGTCGTGTTCTTTGTCAGTTCATCTTCTTCAATTCGTTTTCCCCTTTTTAATCCGAAATTCCAAGGTGAGTGCATGACTGTGGGTCCGTGATTGCTAGATTCAGGATCTGTATGTGTTTCTGTGGTGATTTCGTGATCATAGTTGATGTTTGATTGAGTGTTTATGGTTGAATTCTTGATTCCTGTGTTATTCTCTAATTCGGATACTGCTCATAGATCAATCTCTGTGTTTCAGAAATCGGTGTCGAGCGACACAAATCTTGTGTCGGTCGACACCAGAAGGTTTGTGTCGAGGACACAAAGCGTGTGTCGAGCGACACAAATCTTGTGTCGGTCGACACCAGAAGGTTTGTGTCGAGGACACAAGCGTGTGTCGGTCGACACATACCGGTTAATTCCGGTTTAAATCAATTTGGTCTGGTTTAATTGAATTGATTTAATTGGTTAAATGGTTTAATCTAGTTATTGATAAATTCGGATCTTAATTAATTAAATGGTTTAAAATAATTATATTAATTATTTTTAATTATGGAAAATTATTATTTACTTATTAAGAATTATTTAATAATTCGGAAATTGGTATTTAATAATTATCGGAGCTTATAAATATTATTAAATATCTAGTAATTGCGTAAATGGCCTCTAGGCAGAGTGATTGCCTCACTAAGTATTTATTAAATACTTATGCAACTCTATTCCGATGTTTTGCAGGTAAAAGGTTTTTGTGATCGCGGAATCAAATATGAAGAAGGGATGATAGGATTTATTTATTTGCATTGTCTTGTTAGACTTATTTAATTATTTATTTGCTTCCGCTGAACTGATTTGATATTGTTATTTGAATTATTTATTTGATTTACTTTAAAGACCCTCGCTATAATTGTTTAATATTTAATTATTAAAAAAAAAATGTTGGTTGTTTCATTTTGGTATCAGAGCCTAGACGGTGTTAGGACTGTTAGAATTGTTAGGCTTTAGTATCATCCTCTTCAGCTATAGGAAATTTCGCGGTGAGTTTTTTTGGTGTTTGTGTTTTTGTGTTTATTGTCTAGTTGCTCATGTTCAGGTTCATGCAGTCACTACAAGAAATGTGGGTATTAATAGCACTAAAAGATAGCGTTTTGATTGTTTCTGCTATGGTTGACTTATGGCTAATTTTTTTATAGCGTTTCTGAATTAGTAAACGCTATGATATGATAGGCGCGATATTTTTTTTCACTCCCGCTTGTTTCTTTTGTTTTATCATTGTCTTTAATAGCATATAACATATTGAAACGCTATCATATTGCGATTAATAATTAATGTCATAAAAAGAAAAAGTAATTTCTTTTTTCTTATTCTCCTTCTCACAAGTCACAACAGCCAATCAAAAAATATTACATAGATGGATGACGTGACAAAATCCTCACTCTACAATTTTTTTTCTATTCCTCTTTTCTTTCTCTTCCTCTTCTCCATCTCGAAAACAAAAGTCTCCTTTTCTACCTCTCTCCTTCTCAGATCTGAATCCTTCCACTTCAATCTTCGTCTCGATCTAACAACAACTTCCATCTTCTCTGGCGGATCTGCTGGAAGTTCCACCTCCCGAACCTTCGTCTCTCTCCCAATTCTCCAAATTAGCTTTCCAATCCGACCCGAACGCACCCATAACGTATTGAGTCCTGTCGAAGGTTAAATTCTTCTGCCTCAGGTCATCGCAGAAGGTACGAACTTGAATTAAATTTAGGGTTCTATAGTCCGTTTCCCTTGATGAAAGTTTCGAAATATTTGGCGTTTTAAAAACGATTTGATGATAATTTGGGTCGATTTTTATTGCAGATTAGATATTCCAGACTATGAGAATTCGGTTTTAGCTTCAGGAGCAAATTAGTTGAGGATAGACAGATCCATATAATAAATAGTTGGTTCACAATTTTGTTAGTTGAAGGAAACAACCGTAAGTTTTTGCTTTGATCTCTTTGTCTTCACATTCTTTTGAGTATTGGTTTCATGAATTTAGCTCTTTTAATTCCTACAAAATTGTAGGTGAAGCTGATGAGCAACGCTAGTGAGCAGATTCGCCAGCTATGAAGTGTCAATGTTGGAAAAACTGTGGAAGGAGATTTCTTTGTTGCTTGTGATTTATGCTAATTCCCAGTTTGATTAAAGCACAGGAGACTCGTCAATTTGATTGGATATTGCTGTGAAGAAGATGGAAAGACTTCTTGTTGCAAAGCTTGATTAGAATTGTAGAATATGTAATTATATTAATTTCTATTTTTTGGTAATGTAATTAAATGAAAACTTAAGTTTACTTTTTTAAATACTGAGTTTGTTACTTTCTATTTGTTGATGTTTATAAAATCAAATATCGTAATTATATTTAATTAAAAAGAAATTGATAAACAATTAATTATATATATTAATATTAAGAGAAAAATAATATTATATTTATAAATAAAATAATTAATAACAAAATTTAATTGCTATTATAGAATGCCATTGTAGAATATACAATTGTATAACAAAAACGCTATATATAAAGTAAAGATAATATAGCTATCTCAAAAATCGCTATCTAAAGTAAGGAATCTATTATCGCGGGCGATGATAGAGCGTTTATTAAAACGCTATCATATCTTTAGATAGCGTTTTTCGGGTGTTAAGAAAACTCATTTTCCTGTAGTGAGTGAGATGGACGGAGCTCCTAGAGGTCGTAGCGCGAGAGGGCGCGGTGCTAGAGGTCGTGGCGGCAGAGCTGGAGGCCGAGCAGGCCGAGGTCGAGGTCGTGGACTTCCGGAGGAATTGGGAGCAGAGTCGTCCCTGAAAAGTGGTGGGCCACAATCCAAAAAAACTTTTGGGCCTGTAAAAAAAGAAGGTTTTGAAAATAAAATAAGAAAAGTTGAAGCACTAACTCGAACAGGCAACCTATTCCTTCCTCCACTATACCGATAACCAACTCAGCTAAAGAACTTTTTACTATTTGAGGGCCGAAAATTTATTTATACTATATAGGGCCACAAGCAGCTGCTTGCTCCCAAGGCCGGCTCTGGTCGGGAGAGTGTGTTGCGCAGAGTGTGACGACTGCGTCGGTGACCCAGTCAGTTCCATTGGCGGGTGATGCCAGTGTGAGTGTTGGTTTGGGAGCTGCTCCGGGTGGGGGTGGCGCTCCGGCTCCGGGTCGTGATGACTTAGTGGTGGAGTTGCTGACGCATTTATTGGCTCGTTTTCCGCCGGGGGCTCCAGGAGTACCGCCAGTGGCGGGGATGCAGCATGTTGCTGCAGATGTTGTGCAGCCGGAGGCTGTGGGTGCGGGTGTGTCCCGTTATTTGGAGTTTATGGGCCACATGCAGAGAATTGGTACGCCTTTCTTCGAGGGCAGAGTTGGTCCGGAGGAGGCAGACGCGTGGCGTCAAAGAGTGGAGCGGAAGTTTCAGTCGATCTGTTGTCCTATGGAGTAGTGGGTGGAGTTAGCGGTCCACTATTTGAGTGGCGATGCTCATTTGTGGTGGCAGGCCGCAGTGGGCTGGAGGGCATTTTGGACTTGGGGCGACTTCCTTGTGGTCTCTCTTCATTGGTTTTCTTAACACTCTTATTTCCTTTCAACTTTGCTGCCTTCACACCTATCTNTGATTCCAATCACCACATTTATATTTGGAAAGGGAATTATTATGTTATCATAAAATATAACGTTTTAAAAACTCAAAAATTAAGTAATGCCGAATCCTATCACCACTTATTGTCAATTTTTTTAACTGAAAACTAATTAAATGTATCACCTTAATCCCATTTTATTCTGAGGGATTTTTGTAAGTTGGGAAGACAATATTGATCACCCAAATATTTACATTTTCTGTACGATGACCACTTTAGATTGATTACTTGAAGGTTTAATTTAGTCTTCTCAGGAATCAGGATTATTCGTAAATCAATACCGGTTTAATCACTTTATAGAGTAACACATCATACACGAAACGGACATGCATGTGTGTATTCATACACCAATTATTGTATGTTAAACTTGCAATAAAAATATGTGCTATCAAGTTAAAAACTATGTATAATAACATATATATATATATATATATATATTTGTCTCATGTGTAAAAATATAAAATAAGAGTGAAGTTATAGTTCAGTAACACGTATATGTGAAGCACTATAAATAAAGTTTACATGCACTACATATGTAGTTGATTGTAAAGGAAATTAAATGTTAATTGTTAATTTTTAATGGGCTTCGTTAATGTTAATGTTAGTTAGGGGAGAATTAATTGTTAATAAGTAAGACATATTATACAATGACATATTATGTAATTTGTCTAGTAAAGTTTGTCTTAATTAGAAATTGGTTTGAGAGTGAACCTAGTGATGACACCTAAGCAATGACATTTTTGTTAATAATACATAAGACAAAGGTTAATTTGACAGTGTTTTCTCTTTTAATATATTAAGGATGTGCTGAGGTTATAATGAATTGTTAGAGGAGGCCCACATAGTTAGATGTGTATGGCACTTTATTGAAAATATGTACATTTATGTTTTAGGAAGTTTTACAATCCTTTGTAAAAACTCTTTTAGGAAACTTTACAATCCTTTGTAAATTTACAATCCTTTGTAAAAACCCTAGGCTGTTAGGGTCTTTGATATTTTGTATAAATAGAACCTCTTGGCTTGTGAATAAACTCAGAATATTCAGAACCTTGTTTTACATGGTATCAGAGCGAGACGATCTTGAGAAAATCGACTCCGATACAGAGATCTTGCCTAATCCGGGCAACTTGGCGATAGCGTTAGTTGAGAAAGAGATGAAAGGAGCATACCAGCTCTCGGCGACTGAGAATCCTGATGCAGTGATTGCATAGGTTCAGTTTAACGGTGACAACTTTGATGAATGGGCTCAAGCGGTGTGGACTGCGCTGCGAGTAAAGAAGAAGTTTGGTTTCGTTGACGGAAGTGTGACGGAGCCGGCGAAAGATGCAGCAGACCATGAAGATTGGCTTTCTGCTAAATCAATGGTGACTTTGTGGATCTTAAACACAGTGGATTCTAAAGTAAGAAGAACTTTGGCAAACAAAGAAGATCCAGCGGAGCTGTGGAAAGAGATTAAGGAACTATTCTCTGAAGGAAACGGACCAAGAATTCAGGAGAACAAGGCTGAACTGGCGGTTTGCCGACAAGGAAACTCGAGTGTGATCGAGTACTTTGGAAAGTTACAAGTTCTCTGGGAAGACTTGTTGAACTATGAAACAAGTCCGGAATGCAAGTGTGGATTATGCAAGTGCAACTTGAATTCCGAACTTGAGAAGAAACGAGAAGAAGATCGGATTCACCAGTTTCTTCTAGGGCTTGATGATGCTATCTATGGAGGAGTTCGCACTTCAATCATCAACACTGATCCTCTTCCAAACCTTAACCAAGTTTACTCCAAAGTAAAATATGTTGAGAGAATCAACACGGTGATGCGTGGAAGAGAACAACAAACACCTCAAACGGCGTTTGTGACACAGAGAAACAATGTAATGTTCAAAGAGGAGAAGCTCAAAATGACATGCACAAACTGTAAGAAGAAAGGACACACCGCAGAGACATGCTATCAAACCATCGGATATCCAGAATGGTAGGGAGAAAGAGCAGGATAACAAGGAGGAGGTCGCGGTGGTGGTCGTGGAATGGGATGAGGACGCGGAATGGTTCGAGCCAATGCCGTGATAGATCCAAATAGTGGTGATGGTGAAATCAGCACTGAAGCAGAACGAAGTGGGTACATTGGACTCACTAACGAACAATGGAGCACACTACTCAAGCTATTGGAAGAGAAACAAGGAGCAACACCTCGCTTGACTGGTAAGTCTTTCTCTCATGACTGGGTGATTGATACAGGAGCATCGAATCACATGACTGGATATGTTGACTTGTTGAATGATCGGAAGTATATGTTGCCATGTGGTATTGGCCTTCCAAATGGAAAACAGAGCTTGTCTCGAGAAAAAGGGACAGTAATTTTTGATGAAGATTTTGCTCTTAAGAATGTGTTGTTTGTTCCGGATTTGAGATGCAACTTGATATCGGTGTCACAACTTATTAAGTACTTGGATGTGGTGTTACAGATTGCTAATAAGGGTTGTGTAATTCAGGACCGTATCGAGAGGAGGCTGATTGGAGCGGGTGAGCTTCGGGATGGACTTTACTTCTTTCGTCGCTTGAAGAATTTTAGAGCTTTACGTTTGAATAAAGATGGAGCCGATGAGATGTGGCATCAACGACTTGGACATCCATCCAATGGTGTTTTTGATTTGCTTTCTGATGTACTTGAATTTTACATGGTTTTAGCCATTCTTTTATGCATCTTTTGCATAGTTTGATTCACCCAAAGCATCATTTCTTGATGTTTTCCCTTCTTTTGCATACATAGTAGTTTTAGGCTTGCATTTGCATACATGTGCACGTTTGATGTCTTAATCAGGTCATTTGGAGCTAATTGGAACATTGCCTATCACTGGAGACTAGTTGAGGAAGGAAAGACTCTGTCTGCCCCATGTACGGACCCGCACTCGGTCGAGCTAGTGAGATGCGTCCGAAGAATCGTATCAAATGAAGGGTTTCCACTCCGATTAAGCCTCTGACTTCTTCTTGGAAGTTGTGGATAATTGAGTTAGCTTTCGTCTGGAGGTGGTTTCAGTCATTCAGTGTCTGACTTCTTCTTGGAAGTTGTGGATAATTAAGTTAGCTTTCGTCTGGAGGTGGTTTCATGTCATTCGGACCAGCGGTTCAGAAGATACGACGATATTGGTTGGACTCGACCCATCAGCTCGACCGGTTAGTTTCCAACTCGATCGAGCTGCTTTTCCAGGAGTCAAAGTCAAACCCGAAAAATGTTGCTTCCCTTTGACTCCTCTTTGACCCTAAACCTAGTTTGCTTTACTATAAATGGCATTGAGCCACGAATTAAACATAGCTTTTGCTCAACTTTTATTTAATCTTGTATTTGCTTTTCCTTTTTTTTTTTACTTTTTAGCCTCTCTTTGTGTTCTTGAGCTCATGCTCATAGAACCCTAGATCTAAGCTTTGTTATTGTGTATTTGCACTTTGCTATTTCAATAAAAGTTGTTTATCTTTATCTCCTCTATCTTTTGATGTCTCCTTTATTGCATTTGGTTGTTTATTTCATCATGTGTAGTGAGTAGTTTCTCTTTAGGGTTTAAGATGGGATAGGAGGTTGTTTATACTTAATCTCTCTTGCTTTATGTTCTTAACCTAGAAATCTCTCTCTTTTGGACAAACCTTAAGGCTACATGACCACTATCCCTGGCTTGTATGTCCATAGGCGATTCTCCACATGGAAGTGATGGAAATCGTTGGAAAGGTCCACTAAGAGCTCCAATAACTCTTGCTCTCGAAATGGAGTTCATAGGGGTTGGATGGATTAGTTTGAGCAATGATCCTATGGCCTCCAAGGCTTGATTCTCACTGGCTTACCCCCTGTTTCTGAGATCAAGTCTTGGTTGATACTTTTTAGAGCTCTAATCCCATCTTTGTGTTCTTGAAGCTCTTGCTTCTTGAATCCTAGATTACGATATATTTTTGTATTTGCACTTGCTTATTTCAGAGGCTAAAGTATAACAAACTTTTGGCTCTTTAGAAAGTGCTTTCTAATATCTCAAAATATTAATCTCCTCCTGGGGGGCCGTGTCATCTAACTCAATGCCGTTTAGTGTTTCTGATGACAGGATTTATGTTATGTTTGCTTGTGTAGTTATTTGTGTTGTGGGATGGGAAAGGGTTAGCTAGGCATTGAGAAGCTCAATATAAGAGATAGCTTGAGTACAAGTTGTTTAAGAGCAAGACTGATTAAGTATAGCCTCCCTTTAGCTGCAAAACCCTGTCTTTAACCCTAATCTTCGTCATTAGCATCTTAAAGTTTCACCTTTATTGCTTTTCATTCGCTTTCCTCTGTTTTTACACCAACTCGACCCTCAACTCGATCGAGCTCTTGGTCGAGCTGCTTTTATTTACTGCTTTTGCTTGCATTTCATTTCATATTAGGTTGTTTAGTTGTTACATCCCTCCATTTAATCATTTGGCTTGACTTTCTTGTGTTTGCATATTCTCATAGAGCAACATCTCACCCTTATGGATTGATAACCTCTTATACTTCAATGGAATTTATTGATTGTATTGCACCATACCATCTCATCTCTATTCCACCCCTTTTGCATTCCACCTTCATTTCATATCATCCTTCATTCACTTCATCCACGTAAAATCCTATCATCAATTTGGCGCCGTTCCATTTGGTTTGTTACTGTTGCATTTGAGTTTCCAAATCAGTTGACGATCAAGTACTATCCCACCTTTGTTGCTTGTACTGCTGGGTTTTTGACTTTTTGCAGGTGTATGTAACTTGATCGAGCTCATCAACAGAGACTTGGTCGAGTTAGACATCAACCTAGGCAGAAAACAGAGAAAGAAGAGCAGAAGCAACAAGTTCAGAAAGGTGCTTGTTACAGATACTGGATATACCAGAGGGTAATGGAAACCCTCTGGGTAATGGAAATGGTCGAGCTAGGCAGACTCGACCGATTGGCTTGGAGATGCACCAAACCGCCACCACAAAGAAGAGGGAGAACCACAATTTCGAGATCAAGCTGGGGATGATTACCTTAGTCCAGAACAAGATGTTCCATGGATTGTCTTGTGAAGATCCCATTGATCACTTGGATGAGTTTGATAGGCTGTGTGATCTGACCAAGATGAATGGTGTCTCTGAAGATGCCATCAAGCTGAGACTCTTCCCTATGTCTCTTGGTGACAAGGCCCATCAATGGGAGAAGAGTTTACCCCATGGATCAATCACTACATGGGAGGATTGCAAGAAGGCATTTCTTGCCAAGTTCTTCTCTACTGGTCGCACTGCTAAGCTGAGAAGCGAGATATCTGGTTTCACTCAAAGGAACAATGAGACATTTGCTGAAGCTTGGGAGAGATTCAAGGGTTACACCAGTCAATGCCCTCATCATGGCTTCAGCAATGAGTCTTTGCTTTCCACACTTTACAGAGGAGTTTTGCCAAGATACAAAGAGATGTTGGACACAGCCAGTAATGGAAACTTCCTCAATCAAGATGTAGATGATGGCTGGCAGCTTGTGGAGAACATTGCTAACTCAAGTGGGAGCTATGGAGAGGAGTATGATCGCACAAACAGGAGCTCGACCTCCAACTCGATCGAGTCTGATAGTAAGCTGAGAAACGATGTCAAGGCACTCAATGAGAAGTTGGATACGCTTATCTTAGCTCAATCCACAATGAAGAAGGCCAACTTTGTTTCTAAAGAAGAGATGGTTCAAGGCCAAGAAGAGGAGGAGAATCAGTTTGCTGAAGTGTGCTACATTAAGAATGGACAAGGAGGTTATCAAAACGGTTACTATGGCTACAAGTCACACCCTACCATGTCCTACAGTAACACTGATGTTGCCAATCCTCAAGATCAAGTCTACCCTCCGCAGCAACAGGCTCCAGCGAGTCAGCCTCCACAGCAAGGATATGGTCAGAAAGGGAATTTCCAGGGCCATCAGGGAAATTATCAAGGACAACAGCAGAGTGTACCAACTGGGTATGCACCTCAAGCGCCTCAGGCTTCACCAAGTCAGGAACAAGAAATAAAAGCCATGTTGAAGCAGCTCTTACAAGGTCAAGCAGATGGTGCTATGGAGACAAGCAAGAAGTTGGCTGAGATGAACTCTAAGATTGAATCCTTGAACACTAGAGTTCACTCTTTGGAACACCATGCTTCTTCTTCTGCTGCTAAGCAAGGTCAATTTCCTGGAAAGGCTGTTCAGAATCCAAAGGAGCATTGTAGAGCGATCTTCACTCAAGAGGAAGGATTTGATCAACAAGCTGCTAATGAGAAGGATATTGAGGAGATCTGTATGCTGCTTAATAATGAAGACAATGTTGTTGCTGATGCTCCTGGAGTCCAGTACGCTCAACCTGAAGTGCAAGCTCCTCAGATAGCTATCCACGCTTCACCGGTTGAGCTCGCACAACAAGCTCGATTGGCAGCTCGATCGAGCCAGACCGTCTCACCAGCTCGATCGAGTCAGATGCTTTATGCTCCAACACCATCTGATGATGACACCTACAAGCCCCCTGTTCCATTTCCAAGTAGAATCCTTACCAAGAATCAGAAAAAAGTCATCACCAAGTTTAGGAATGACATGAGTAAGATTGGGGTTGAGCTACCAAATATGGGAAGTTTTCAAGCTGCTCATGTCCAAAAGAAGATGATTAAGGACATACTTGATAACAAGGACGAAGTAGCTCAGCTTTTGGAGCCCTCTTCTTCCCAGGGTGATCTCTTATCCACACCAACCTCACTACCCAAGCTGAATGGTCAGGGAAGCTTCACTCTGCCTTGTACACTTGGTCACCTACAACTTGAGGATGCACTTGTTGATTCTGGAGCAAGTATCAATCTGATCTCTCTTGTTCTAATACAGAAATTGGGTATACAGAGTCTGATCCAGCGACCTAAGTCTTCTATCATGTTTGGGGATGCTTCTTCTAAAGCCCCACTTGGTATTGTCATGGATTTCCCTTTGAGAATTGGAGAGTGCACAATCCCAATTGATCTAACAGTTCTGGATATGGTTGACGAGAAGGATGTGCCATTGATCTTAGGGACACCTTTCCTCACCACTGTTGGTGCCTCCATTGATTTCCATACAAAGAAAGTGATCCTGCACAATGTCAACAGCAAAGTCTCTTACCCTCTCAAGGCATCAAGCTCTAAATATTGTGGAACCATTGCCACTAAGTCACTGAGCATCAAGGGTGATGAGTTTGCTGAGGTTGAAAAGATGGAGATAATGACTGAGAGCAGCACAGAGCCAGTTATTTGTGAACCTTGTGTTCTGGATGAGATGGGTCTTGCAGTTTTGTTTAGTGAGCAGCTAGGAAGTGCTCAAAAAGATGGGGAGGGTATGGCTTTGAAGGCGTCTCCTGGACATAAAAGAAAGATGATCACGCCTCAGACTCTCTCAAGCGCTCCATCCCAGCTTACCCTGACTCTGTTGCCATCCAAGTTCACAAATGGGAAGATTGAGTACAAGATCAAGTGCAAGAGAAAGTCTAAACCGTTTTCCAGTATCAATGCCTTGGTCAGTCCTGAGCTGCAAAAAGATCAAACCAAGCTCAAGGAGCTCCTATCTTCAGTCCTTACTGTCACATTTGATGGCGGGACCGCTCTCATTCATGCCTAAAAGGTAAAAGGTCAAGCTATGCGACCTAAAACAAGCTCACTTGGGAGGAATTCCCATGTCTATCTTGTATATAATGCTTTCATTTAAGTTCTTTGTAGTTGTTTCTGTCTAAGGCTTGCAGGAGTTAGTTCAAAAGGGAAGCTATTCTGACTCGAGCACAGACTCGATCGAGCCCAATCCACCACACCTATTTTGGCTATTTTGGCCCGATTGATGCCGTTATGATGCTATTGTCTCCTGCCCTCTCCAACTCATGACCTTGCTTCCCAGTTCTTTGGGGAGCACTAAGGTATCAAACGTTTCTTCCCTTGTACATACCATCTCATTTTCATGCATTTTTCTTTGTTTTTCCTCTTGAATCTTTCACTGAATTTCTTTCACACAAGGGACTGTGTGATTTAAGTTTGGGGGAGGGTTCAAGAGATGATTTAACCTTGTTTTTCTGTTCTTAGTTTTTCATTCATCATTTGCATAGAAAAACCAAAAAAATCATAAAATTTTCAAAAATCCAAAAATATTTTCATCTTTTTGCATTCATATTTAGATTGTTTAGGATTGCATCTTTCATTGCATTGTTGATTTGATTTGAAAACTTGTCATCATTTGCGATTTCTTGAGTGCCCTGTTTTTAGATTCTTTTGTGCATTAGGGTGAGATTGATTGAGCAGCAAGAACCATGTTTATCTTGATCATATCACTGCATGCACATCTCATTCAACCATTGCTGTGATTTGATGCATTTCCCTATCTATTTGAACCATAACTTGATCTTTAATTACCAATGCTTGCATTTGATTTCAACTCATGGCTACCACATACATATCTGGACATTCTTTACCTATTTTCATATCCCTCTTGCTTGTCCAGATAGCTGATCTCCATCTTTGAGACAGTTACCACACCTTAAACCTAAGCCTTTTTCATTTCAAACCCCATATTATCTCTTGTGCGAATTGTGAGAACCTTTCTTGGCTTTGCTTAGCATAAGGTGTTGTGTTTAAACCGGCAGGGGCAGTAGTTCTAGTTGTCTAGTTCTCTTGGGATTGTTTTCAGGCTAAGTTTGGGGGTGCCAACTCGAGCTCGATCGAGTTGGGTGTAAAAACCAGAAAAGTGGTAAAAGTTGGGAAAATCCAAAGGAAAAAGAGTTTAGTTAAGTCCAGGGAGTTGGCAGTGTTAAAAAGGGTCTAGTAAAGGTTTGGGAAGTTAAAAAAGAAAGTAAAAAGGGTTCTAAGTAGAAAGAAAAGAAGGCAAAGCCTCAAGTGTCAAAAAGAAAAGAAAAGTTCCCTAAGTGTTTAGAAAATCCCAAACCGCTAGATGTTACCTCAAGAAGCCTCTCCCTAGGATGTTCTTAAAAGAAAAGTGAGCAAAGCTCCTCAGTTTCAAAGGCGAAATGCCAAAAAGGGTAGTTAGGATTTTGTTCTAAAAAGCTCTAAGTGTTGAACTCGATCGAGTTAGGATTAGGCGGCTCGAGTTGCTGTCTTGCATCATCTTTGGTTCTAACACTTAGCCTTCTGCCAAAGCAAAGCCACTTTCTTGAGAGATCCCTGTTACTAAACCACCATACAAAAGAGACCCTCTTTGTCTCTTAACCCATAAACCCTTGAAACCAAATGAGTTGATTGATCTTGCATGTTTTTGGTTCACTGTTTTTGCTTAATGAATGTTAAAGGGATTTGCTGATTTGAATGCATTGTTTGAGTGACTGTGAAGTGGGATTGATGTTGATAAGCATGGTTAAATCTTAATGAATATCTCTCACCTTGTTGCATTCTAGAATCTCTAAGTTGGACATTTAGCAAATCGCTTTTGAGGACATGTTTTTAAAGGTTGAATCAACTTGTTTTCAAACCTCATCCCTTTCTTGTTCTATTTGTTTGCTTGAGGGCAAGCAAAGGTCAAGTTTGGGGGTGTTGATGTACTTGCATTTTACATGGTTTTAGCCCTTCTTTTATGCATCTTTTGCATAGTTTCATTCACCCAAAGCATCATTTCTTGATGTTTTCCCTTCTTTTGCATACATAGTAGTTTTAGGCTTGCATTTGCATACATATGCACGTTTGATGTCTTAATCAGGTCATTTGGAGCTAATTGGAACATTGCCTATCACTGGAGACTAGTTGAGGAAGGAAAGACTCTGTCTGCCCCATGTACGGACCCGCACTCGGTCGAGCTAGTGAGATGCGTCCGAAGTATCGTATCAAATGAAGGGTTTCCACTCCGATTCAGCCTCTGACTTCTTCTTGGAAGTTGTGGATAATTGAGTTAGCTTTCGTCTGGAGGTGGTTTCATGTCATTCGGACCAGCGGTTCAGAAGATACGACGATATTGGTTGGACTCGACCCACCAGCTCGACCGGCCAGTTTCCAACTCGATCGAGCTGCTTTTCCAGGAGTCAAAGTCAAACCCGAAAAATGTTGCTTCCCTTTGACTCCCCTTTGACCCTAAACCTAGTTTGCTTTACTATAAATGGCATTGAGCCACGAATTAAACATAGCTTTTGCTCAACTTTTATTTAATCTTGTATTTGCATTTCCCTTTTTACTTTTTAGCCTCTCTTTGTGTTCTTGAGCTCTTGCTCATAGAACCCTAGATCTAGGCTTTGTTATTGTGTATTTGCACTTTGCTATTTCAATAAAAGTTGTTTATCTTTATCTCCTCTATCTTTTGATGTCTCATTTATTGCATTTGGTTGTTTATTTCATCATGTGTAGTGAGTAGTTCCCTTTAGGGTTTAAGATGGGATAGGTTAGAGGTTGTTTATGCTTAATCTCTCTTGCTTTATGTTCTTAATCTAGAAATCTCTCTCTTTTGGACAAACCTTAAGGCTACATGACCACTATCCCTGGCTTGTATGTCCATAGGCGATTCTCCACATGGAAGTGATGGAAATCGTTGGAAAAGGTCCACTAAGAGCTCCAATAACTCTTGCTCTCGAAATGGAGTTCATAGGGGTTGGATGGATTAGTTTGAGCAATGATCCTATGGCCTCCAAGGCTTGATTCTCACTGGCTAACCCCCTGTTTCTGAGATCAAGTCTTGGTTGATAGCTTTCACCTTGGGAAAGGGTTAGCTAGGCATTGAGAAGCTCAATATCAAGAGATAGCTTGAGTACAAGTTGTTTAAGAGCAAGACTGATTAAGTATAGCCTCCCTTTAGCTGCAAAACCCTGTCTTTAACCCTAATCTTCGCATTAGCATCTTAAAGTTTGCACCTTTATTGCTTTTCATTCGCTTTCCTCTGTTTTTACACCAACTCGACCCTCAACTCGATCGAGCTCTTGGTCGAGCTGCTTTTATTTACTGCTTTTGCTTGCATTTCATTTCATATTAGGTTGTTTAGTTGTTACATCCCTCCATTTAATCATTTGGCTTGACTTTCTTGTGTTTGCATATTCTCATAGAGCAACATCTCACCCTTATGGATTGATAACCTCTTATACTTCAATGACTATGATGGTTAAGAGGAATTGATTGATTGTGATTGCACCATACCATCTCATCTTATTCACCCCTGTTTGCATTCCACCTCATTTCATATCATCCTTCATTCACTTCATCCACGTAAAATCCTATCATCACTTCCTATTGTTGGTAATAGGAGTAGGGATTTTTCAGTTTGTGATACTTGTGTGAAAGCTAAACATAGTCGAGAGGTTTTTCATTCAAGTGATAATAAAAGCGACGAAATTTTTGATATGATTCACTGTGACTTATGGGGGCCATATCGTAGTCCAAGTTTGTGCAACTCATACTATTTTTTGACAATCGTTGATGATCACTCAAGAGGAGTTTGGGTGTTTCTACTTCGTGATAAAACTCAAGTCAAAGAAACATTGAGGAATTTTATCACCATGGCACACAGACAATTTGGGAAGAAGATTAAAATTGTTAGAAGTGACAATGGAACTGAATTCACAAGCTTTGCTTCTGAATTTCGAGAACAGGGGATAAGACACCAAACGTCTTGTGTTGGAACACCACAGCAAAACGGGAGAGTAGAGAGAAAGCACAGGCATATTTTGAATGTAGCTCGTGCACTGCTATTTCAGTCTTCTCTGCCAGTTAAGTTCTTGGGAGAAAGTGTTTTAACACAGCTTATTTGATAAATCGGACTCCATCACGTCTCTTGAAAGGAAAATCACCTTATGAACTGATTTATGGTGTTCCTCCCACTTATGACAACTTGAAGGTTTTTGGCTGCTTGGCATTTGCTCATAATCAACGAAGAGGAGGAGATAAGTTTGAAAGTCGAAGCAGACGTTGCTTGTTTGTGGGATATCCATTTGATAAGAAAGGATGGAATTTATTTGATTTGGAAACAGAGGAAGTGTTTGTCTCTCGAGATGTTATTTTCGTGGAAGATGTTTTTCCTCTTAGACATGAATCGCTTGCAGGTGCAAGCAATGATGATTCAAATAGACCTTTGGATTTTGGTTTATTTGACGATGACGAACCGGAGGTTGTGGAATCAAGACTTGATGATACACATCTTGGCAAACCGGTTGACCCTGTAACGCATGAAGAAAATGTTACTGCTAAACGCATAGAATCAACTGATAATGTTCAAAGACAAGAGGAATGTCTTGAAGGAACTCACGAGAATGTGACGAAGGATAGTTGTGATGACACACAACCAACTACTGAAAATCTGGGACGCGGTATGAGATCGAAGAAGATCCCGTCCAAGCTGAATGACTTTGTGCTTAATACCATTCGCGAAACGGAGGGTGTGGATGGGGAAATTGAGATTTCATTTGAAGAAAGCATGGATGAACACAGTTTTCATCCTATATCTCATTATCTTGATAGCAAGTCCTTCTCTCCTCGTCATCGAGCGTTTCTTGCAGCCTTGCATGCAGAAACCGCACCAATATTTTTTAAGGATGCTGTTGTCTACAAGAAATGGAGGGAAGCGATGCTGGCTGAGATAGAAGCTTTGGACCTTAATGGAACGTGGGATTTGGTAGAACTTCCAAAAGGGAAAACAGCCATTGGTTGTAAATGGGTGTATACGATAAAGTTTCGAGCTGATGGAACGTTGGAGAGATATAAAGCAAGATTGGTTGCTCTTGGAAATAGACAAGTTGAGGGTGTAGATTACTCAGACACGTTTGCTCCAGTCATCAAGATGTCAACAATTCGTTTGTTTCTTGAAGTGGCTGCAGCCAAACAATGGGAATTACATCAAATGGATGTGCATAATGCATTTCTTCATGGAGATTTAGACGAGGAAGTGTATATGCGCTTACCACCGGGATTTCGTGTGGGGGACAAACAGATGGTTTGTCGACTTAAGAAGTCATTGTATGGCTTGAAGCAAGCTCCGCGCTGTTGGTTTGCTAAGCTGCGCACTGCTTTGATTGGATATGGTTTTAAACAGTCATATTCGGACTACTCTTTGTTCTATCTACGAAAAGAAGGTATTGAGATATACATACTTGTGTATGTAGATGATTTGGTCATTGGAGGGAATGATTCTAAAGCTATTGGAGATTTTAAACAATACTTGGGAGAATGTTTTCATATGAAGGATTTAGGGAAACTGAAATATTTTCTAGGCATAGAAGTTGCAAGGAATAAAGATGGTATCTTTCTTTGTCAAAGAAAGTATACGCTGGATATTATCAGTGATGCAGGTTGTCTTGGATCGAAACCTGCTACATCTCCGATTGAACAACAACACAAGCTTGCGTTATCAGATAAACCGTTTCTTGAAGATCCAGAACGTTATCGACGTTTAGTTGGCCGGTTGATCTACTTATTGGCCACTCGACCTGATCTGACTTATGTGGTTCATGTACTCTCTCAATTTATGCATCAGCCACGAATAGATCATTGGGAGACTGCTTTGCGTGTTGTTCGTTATTTGAAAGGTACTCCGGGACAGGGAGTGTTATTGAAATCTGATAGTGATCTTCGGTTGAGAGGCTGGTGTGATGCTGATTTTTCGGGGTGTCGGCTCACTAGAAGATCGCTTGGTGCTTGGTTTATTACTCTTGGAACTTCGCCGGTCTCATGGAAAGCTAAGAAACAAGATGTGGTTTCTCAGTCTTCTGCTGAATCAGAGTATCGGAGTATGGCGAAAGCAGTTGGAGAACTAAAATGGCTGCGTGATGTGCTCATTGACTTAGGTATTACTCAAACACAGCCGATGGAACTCTATTGTGATAATCAAGCGGCTTTGTATATTGCGGCGAATCCTGTGTTTCATGAGCGCACCAAACATGTAGAACGAGATTGTCACACGGTGCGTGACTCGATTGTCGATGGCACGATTGTTACTAAGAAAGTGGATACTCACGATCAACTTGCTGATGTGTTTACTAAGGCATTGGGACGTCGTGACTTTGAGAATATCATTTCCAAGTTGGGCATCTATAATCCATATGCTCCAACTTGAGGGGAGGGTGTTAGAGGAGGCCCATATAGTTAGACGTGTATGCACGTTATCGAAAATATGTACATTTATGTTTTAGGAAGTTTTACAATCCTTTGTAATTACTCTTTTAGGAAACTTTACAATCCTTTGTAAAAACCCTAGGCTGTTAGGGTCTTTGATCTTTTGTATAAATAGAGCCTCTTGGCTTGTGAATAAACTCAGAACATTCAGAACTTTGTTTTACATGAATTGTCTTTTTATACACCTCGCTCAATCATATGAATAGATCCATATACAATTTAAAAGATCCAAAAAGTGAATGTTTCGATATACCAGAATTACACAGGACACTAGACTAGAAACTAAACACATGTCTCGTGGAGTCGTCAGATGGATAAAGAAAAACTTTTCTTAGTTAAGTATGGTTTTGTGTTTTTATGAAAGACGAATAATTCAGAAAACTTTTAGGAACTGTTCTAAACGAAACAAATAAATTTCAGATACTATTGGCCAGTGGCGAATCCAGAACTTATTTTTACTGGGGTCATATAGTGATTTAGCATCTATTTTTACGGGGTCAAACATGTTTTTTTACCTTTTTATTTTAAAAATACTAACAAATTTTAACCAATTTTTCTCTTTTGCAAAACCTTTACGGTGTCACTTGACCCCGTAACGTCTCAAGTGGCTTCGCCACTGCTATTGGCTGGTTGGTGAAATAAAATCTCACGAATGATTCGCTAAGTTCCATTTTAAAATTCCCATTTGCAAAATTGATTCGGTTCATAATACCTTCATTAGAATTATCGTCAAAATAATTCTGAAGCTTAGCCATAATGACAATTGTTTTAGTATTTTTTCGTCGTAGTGTGTGTTAATTATTCAAGAAACATTGCTTGAAGAAGCAATTATATTTATTTACTTAGATCAGTTCGATTATTTTATAACAACTTACTATCTACATGACAAACGAGTTTGATTTTTTAAATAAATATTTTGCATCTTTCTTACAAACTTCTCTGCTCAATGCGTATCAAACTATTTTCAATGAATCTTTTGTTTTCAATGTATTACCTTTTTTTATTCAACTACTTTGTGTAATTGTTGAGTATGAAAACAAGGCAAAGAGATATTTTCACACTTTGATATTTGGCATCGTTTTCGTTGAATCTTTGACTTCAACGAAAAATCTATATATAGTAATAATAATTTCTACGTTTGTGTCCTATACGATAACTTTCACTATAAAAAACATATAAAATGTCTAATAGTCTTTCTTACTGCTACAAGACGTAGAAAGCTTGTTTTGATGCTCCTAATTACTTGCTATGGTGCATTAAGTCCCATTTATTGCAGCTCATCTCTTGGGTCCACCCTTGTGTATGTTTATATCCCTTAGCTAAAAAAGAAAGGAAAATGTATACTCTAAACCAAACTAATTTCTATATGAGCCTATAATTTTTTTAGCCTAAAATTTTGCTTAATATGCACTAGTTGTTTGGCATGTTGGTCGATCTTTGTTAATGGATAAAAAGATACTTTGAATCTATCATTTTGGTATATGGTTATCTTTCAAACGACCAAAATTAGTAAACCTTCAGAAACAAAAAGATAAAAATATAATTTGAATTGATTTTCTCGTATAATTATTACTTCTTGAATCCAAATACAATGAAACATCACATGTGTTGACTGAAAAAAACCCAGATAGGATTTGATTGCAGAGAAGTACCAAGAGGATATCGCTGGCCTGGCCACGAAGACACACTTGATGTTGTTTGCGGTCTTTCAAACATCTCCACCTTGCACGATTTTGGCCATGACTTCAGACCAGGACTTCATCCATGTCTTGCAGCTATTAGCACTGAAAGGATACAAGATACTGTTGGTGTATAGTAAGAAATGTTTTGCAAAACTTTGTTTTGCGGAGAAGCTGTTCTGTGTCCCTGAAATTTAGAATGGGAATCATTTCTAAGTAATACGATATATGGGTGTTACACATTCATTACCAATTCTACATGTTTTTTTGGATGCTGAGATGTGCCCCATTTTCGCTCTAGCGTTGATGTGTTTAAAATTAGAGACAACATGAAAGCTATACTTAAGGGGAAGGCAAATTTAGTAATTCAGTGTATAGCGATTTTTGGATTTTTAGGCTACCTCAAGAAGGAGTAAAACTTGAGTCCACATACATTTCAGTTTATGAAGCTTTAATAAGCAAGTATCATCTCTATATAGTTGTTAGTATACTATAATATTTATATATACTCTCTCTCTCTCTCTCTCTCCTACATGTTGTAATACAGCAAAGGAACAAGCTGAAGAAAAGAAAAAATGAAGAGTAGAGAAAATATTTTTCTTGGAACGTTCTAAAGTGGAAGTTGCTGGAAGAATGCATAGCAGACCCTATGACGATACTGCTCATATTGGGAAAGGAATCATTTATATCACTTGCCACTGCTTTAACAGACAAAACCTACAGAGTAATGTTATCATATCCCGAGGATATCTCAATAGCGATAAAAAGATAAGTATATGAATGAGGCAATTGTTTTCCCATCAAGTGATTTAGGGTTGAGTTTCTCTGCTAATCTATCTCACAACTTCTTCTTTAAAATATCTCAGTACTTTCTTGAATAATCAAATGTAATGTCATGAAGGATACAGAAAAACTATATATATAAAAATAAAAATGAATATTTTAGGTTATTCTTTCTCTTCGACATCCCTAACCATAACCTTCGCCTCCTCTTCTTTCAGATCCATTGAAACAGTGACCTCAACTCTATAAACATAAAACTTAACCACGACCAAGAACAAGACGAAGTTAACCAAATTAAGAACCGCAAAGAACAAGTAATAATAATCCAACCTAGACTCGTTAAGATTGTTCAAAATCCATCCTCTTCCTCGTTTCTTCGTAATCTTAGAAACCGTCGACAACAGGAAACTGCTCAAGAAATTCCCAATCCCTAAACTCGTCAAAGTATACGATGTCCCGAGACTTTTCATGCTCTCTGGAGCTTGATCGTAGAAAAATTCTAGCTTTGCAACTTCTAAGAAAGCATCAGCCATACCCATTAGCACGAATTGAGGAAGCAAAGCAAAGATGCTCAAAGGTAGTTTTACTCGGGTTTGGTGGATGAGTCCATGATCAGCAGCAACTTTGAGTCTATACCTTTCGGTGATGAATGCTACGATCATGAGGATGATGTGGAAGATAAGACCAATTCCCATTCGTTGAAGCAAAGTAATGCCTCTTGGATTTCCTGTGAATTTTCGGGTGATCTTGACAAAAACTCGATCGTATAAGACTATGGAGATTAGCAATGAGACCGTGACGAAGGCGGAGAGACTCGCCGGTGGGATGCTGAAGTTTCCGGCGACCTTTGCGTTTAGAGTGGTTCCTTGTTTGACAAACAAAGTGTTGACTTGAGCGATCATCGCGCTTGGGACGAAAGTTACGAACATGCTAGGTAACATTTTTAGCATTTGTTTTGTTTCTTCGACTTCTGTGGTAGTACAAAGATTCCATTGATCGGTTGTTCCTGTTTTGAGTGAAGCTCTGTCTAAGAATCTGCGACATAGTTACATGTTATGTACTTTATGACATACTAAGAATCTAAACTGTTGTGAGACCAAATTTGTACGTTTTCTAGCAAAATACGTAGTAAACCAACTTGAATAAGCCTAATAATTTTAGTTATTAAGATCCAAAATTACTACAAATATATATGTAGTAAAACAAAGTAGAATTACTGAGATCCAATCTCTAAATTAATAAACTAAAACCAAAACGAACTATTCTTGTAAAGTAAACCTGTACATTAATTCTAAGTTTTTTTTGGAACTTAATAAACGAAAATATTTTAAATTTTAATATAAAAAAAATCATTGGATAGAACTTCAATCATATTGTAGATAAAAAAAAAACAAAAAAAAAAAATCCTATTTTTTAATCCTTAATAAACACGAAAATTTTCTATACCAAAAATGTTTTTAAAAAATTGATAAGACTTTTTTTTTAAAATGGATATTTATATTAGTCTTAACTAAATAAATTACCTTAGACTTGGTGTGGGAAGGATCGGAAAGGACCCTTTCTGCTTATATTCCAATGAAGGCAGCTCGTGGAAGCGTGCGAGGTCACGCACCATTGGTGCTTTGGCTTTGCGAAATGAAGCCACAATGACTCGAGCCATCTTCATGAAAGGGCTTCCCGAGGGAAGCTTATGGCGATAAAACGGAGTGCCAAACAAAAACACAAGAATAGAAATAGCAAGACCCAAAGTTGGAAGTCCATAACCCCATGACCAACCCACATTATCTTGAACATAAACAAGAATGGTATTAGCGAATAAAGTACCAAAGAAGATACTAAACATCCACCAATTGAAGAATGATATCTTTTGAGTCTTCTCCTTTGGGTCGTATGCGTCAAATTGATCGGCTCCTATTGTTGATATGTTCGGCTTTGTGCCTCCTGTACCGATTGCTAATGTGTATAACGCTCCATAGAAAACTGCTAATTGTAGAACAGAAGTCTTTTCGCAGTCTTCAACATTAGTTGTGGAACATTCAGGTGGTTTGATTCCCGGTATAGATACTGATAACGTTAGCATCAACATCCCCTGTAATTAAACCGGTTAACACAGTGATGTGAGGATCGGATCATGTAATCTTCTTGAATTGCTAATGAGTAAGATATTGGTCGTTTCTAATGGATTTAATTAAGCTGGTTGTGTTTACATGTTTACAAATTATTTTGTTTATATATGTTGACAATGTTATAGACTCTTATCATAGAGGATATCAGTGAATTAAGATTGCAAATTCTATAGTATTTAGTTTCGTTTGCGTTTCACATTTATGCGTACAACTTTGCAAAAACAAAAAAATTAGTGAAGAACACTAAACAAATGTTTTAGCGAAAAAAAAAAAAAGAACACTAAATATTTTTTCGGAAATTTGCTAATTAAATTACCATCAACTGCACACTTTATCAATATATATTCGTTTTTTTTTACGTTACCACTGTTTTAGATGTCACCTTGCCTTCATAATAGTAAAAGCTCATATTATAAATATATCCATAATCTGGCTAACTAAAAACACTGTATATAGATGTAATCACCTAACCTTTTTCTGTATATTTTGTTTTACTGAATAGAAAATGTACGTACCAAAAAATAGATAGCAGAAGAGATGACAAAAGTCAAGTAGCGCCCGAGATGAGCGTCAGCGACATAAGCACCTAAGATGGGAGTGAGGAAGATAGTCCCAACCCAATTGGTCACATTATTTGAAGACTTGACCGTGCCTTGATGCAATTTGGTTGTCATGTAAATCACTAGGTTGCTCGATATCCCGTAATAAGCCATCCTCTCAAATGCCTCGTACACTTCTCATAAGTTTATAACATAAACATTAATTAATACTAGGAGAGAAGGTAAGAAAATTTAACGAAAAAATGAAATAAAATCTAAAAACCAAAGAAAGAAGAAGCAAACGACTGTTAAGGCTAACGCATAGTCATGGTGATCAATCAATCTAATTATGTAAAAGGGAGAAATATTGAAAGAATATATATACCAACGACGAAGGAGCAAGCTTTCCAACGACCTCGTTGGGATCTTCGTACAGGATTGCCTCGAAGATCAACAGTTCCATCCTTTGTATAATCATCTCCTGCCTCTTCTACTGTCATTGGCTCTCTCTCTCTCTCTCTCTCTCTCTCTCTCTCTAGCTTGGTAGTTTCTGTGTTTCTTATAATGTGTGGATATTTGTGTGAAGAGAGTTTGCAATTTTCTCATATATATACAAACAAAGACGATGACAGGTCACAGAATAAGGCTATGGTTCTGAGTGGGGAAGAGGTGCTACTTCCATGTAACATATTTATTGACTGATGTGCGGTCAACAATTTAAAACATTAAAATTAAACAATGTTATTACATTCTTGAAGAAAAATTATCTGAGAATTTTGAAAAACAAGTGTAAGGATTAACTTTATCTATTGATATCATTCTATCCGGTAAACAGAAATGAAGAATATCTGTATTGATCATTCAAAATATTAGAAAAATTAGTCAAAGTTTGATAACTATTATAAAACCAAAAAAAAAAAAAAAAAAAAGTTTGATAACTATTATATATAGCATCGCAATCAATATAGCCTATACAGAGAGAGCCAAAAAGCCTAAGCGTTAAACGTAAAACATGACGACCCCATAAATAAAAGATGGCATCGCCAAATGGTACAACAATGCTCAATAGAAGAAAGCAATAAAGACTCGAAATAAAGACAAGGACACTAGGAAACCATGCACTAAACAGAGGCCCAAAACCTCTCACTAAGAAACAACTCATGAAACCACGAAGGATGACTCAACGCAACATAAGATTGAAAGCGTTTATCTCTAAAAACACCTCCAACAATGGGCATTTCTACATGAGTCTCCTCCTAAACTTTGAAAAAGAAAAAAAAAAATTAATGTTTTATAGAGAGTTGAGATACTCAACCAAGAATCTCTCGCCTTTAGTGGTATCTCAACTATAAATGGAATCTCTGAAATAGTTGAGGGACTTTAATTTTTTTTATAAAATTTTAATATATGTTTTCCGAAGATTGAAAGACTCTTGATCAGAAACCCATTGTTGGAGGTCTAATGATACATTGACACTATGAACAATGAGAGAAGTACCTCTATTGGCAGTGCGATCTTCTAAGCTTCTAGCTATGCAGCCACTGAAGCTCTGCTTAGACATTTTTCTCTATCTTTGAAAATAAATATAACTAGTAGTGGACCCGCACGTTTGTGCGGTGTGACATTGTGATTTGTAAAAAAAATATAATTCCTTTTCCACTAAAATTTTAACCTTAAAATGCATAATTAATATTAGTAGTATGTTATATTTTTTTATCAAAAAATACAAATAGTTTAATCAATAAATTTATATTTTAATCATCTCTTATAGTTTTTTATTATGTTTAGTTAGATAGTTGATAGTTTTAGGTTAGTCTCCAACTTTCACCCGAAACCTGAATCCATATCCAAACTGAAATTAAAAAAGGAATGATTAGGTACGTGTTAATCCTAGTAGTACGTTAAACCAAAATTATGCATTTTAAGGTTGTATCTTAATAGTACATTGTATTTAAATCTGAAAAATCTTCAAAAAACCCAAAGAATCCAGAAAAAACTCGAACTAAACCCGTAAAAAAACTTAACCGAAGCTAAACCAAAATATAAAAAGACTACAGTTTCTATATCTATAAATTTGAAAAACCAAAGCCCAAAGACCCGATCCAAATCCGACATGAAATGTGACCAGTGTTGTTATTTTTTATAGTTTATTGTGACATATATAAAAAATTACAAATAAAAAAGGGAAACAAAGACACGTGTTCTCCTTTTCTCCATCTTAGAGACATCATCACTTTCCTTCCCCTTTCTCCACCGAAAAACCTGTACTTTGCTTTCTTTCTCTAATTGAGTTTATGCATATACTTTGATCCCATCTTCTCCATTGACCCATCTCTACATATACTTTGATCCTTTGAACAACAGAACAATCTTGCCTTCCTTCAATTGTATCGTCTTCTTCTCTGATATGGCTAAGGAACTTACGTCCAAGGCACATGAGGCTTTCGTAGACGACGACTTGGAAATTGATGTGGACTTGTATTCCAAAGTCATTGAATTGGATCCTAATTGCGCCGATTTCTTCGCCGATCGTGTTCAAGCTAACATCAAACTCCTAAACTTCACTGGTAACTTCTTCCCTTTATTATAAAAAAACGGTACTTTGTTGAAGAAGAACATAAATCTTCGTCATTGAGCTTCTGGGTTGTCATGTCCTGGGTTCTTGTTCGAAACCCATATTAAGGTTCAATGGGGTCTCCTTTTCGAAAATGTTGGTTTCTCAATTTCGCTCTTACTCTCACCTCTCTTTCTTCTGCAAAATTGCTTTCGTTTTCTTCCTTGGTGAATTCCTTTTATTGTAGATGTTGAGAATTATCTCTACCAAAATCCCACTAAGCAATCGATTTTCTATTTTCCTTGTCAGAGGAAGCCCTTTTAACACCTGCTCTGTCTCCGGTAACTCCCCAATCAAAATCTCTCCGTCCCGGTAACCCCCATCAAAATCTCAACAATCCGGTAACAGCTCACCTACCAACTACACTGCGAAACTCAACAAAAACCAGACAGGGCTGCATCTTCGCCAATTAATCTAGTTAACGACGGCGGTTCTTCGATTAATTGTGGTGGCAGATTTTTGGGTATAATCTGGATCGCCGTGTTACTGGATTCAAATTCTCGACTGATTGCTGTTATCCGATTTCCAGCGACACTGATTTCACAAAACCAATAGCTTTGGAATATTAATGTGAAAAAGAGGCTATGGAGATTTCCTGCTCGCTCATCCTTTTCATCTCAAGCTTTTAGCAAGCGATGATTGTTCCATCACCGATCAATTTAGGCATAGAAGCCTCAGACGGTCATCACAAATTATATAGTAGTAGGTAGATAGGGTTTATATCGATGATATTTCTTGATTATCAAGGTTTTTTTTGATTTGGTATTATCATAAATTATGTTAATTTTTCTTTTTGGTAGATTTTCTTAGAATTGAAAAAGGGAAAGTTTTCTGATAATGTCATTATCGCCGATAGGTTTCTATTTCTCAATCTTTGGTTTAGTAAAATTCAGTTTTTGGTTTAATAGAATCAAATTGGTAAACAAAAAAGCAACAAACACGGTTTGATTTAAGTGATAAAGATCCGCGTCCTTTACCAAATCTATTTGGGTGGGTTATTCTCGATTTAAAGCTATTCGGGTGGGCTATTCGCGAGTTACCGAGTCAACTCAGCCGAGTTAGCTTTTTTTGCCACTTTTAACCCCTGTTATCCTGTATACAAACAGTTTTCCTTCATAAAAGTTAGGGTTTTTTGTCTTTTTTTTTAAATGTACTTCTCGATTAATAATAAAGAGATTTTGTGATTTGTGGTATAGACTTTAGCCCAATGGTCCCCCTGTTTCGAATGGCCTTGTTGTCCTGGCCCAAATTCAAACACTCTGCACACTTCTCTCTTTTGCTCACAATCTCACAATTAGCAATACATATTTGTCACACGCAACGTTTCACAAGCTCACGTTTCATGCACTTTATTTTAATCATTACTGACATGTATATTTAATCCCCATTATCTATATAAAAACTGTTACAGAAGCAGCAGATCGAGGTCCCAAACTATATTTTAATTGTTACTTATTTTAATAATAAGTCGGACTCAGATGCAATGAAGCAAAGTGGATATTCTATACGTCCAAGATTCCTCTAAATCTCAACTTTCTGCCTTTTTCAGTTCCTTAATTTTCATACTATACGCAAAAATAAAAAACCTATCCATATATAGTCATATGTATGTACGTGTTGGTACACATAATAACAGAGAGACAGACATTTTAGTAGAGGCGTAGAGAAAAGGAAGAAGATGGAGATATTTCTGAAGAAAGAGTACTTAGATTTGGTTCTTGTCCCATTCGGGTTGATCGTTGTTTTAGCTTACCATCTATTTCTTCTCTATCGAATCCTTTATTTTCCTTACCACACCGTTATCGGTTTCATGAACATCGATAAATCCATTTGGGTCGAACGTATCATGCAGGCAAGTCTTTAGTCTTCTTTTACTACACATCTTTTCAAAACTATAGTTACAAGATATATAGCTCAATATTTGATTATAGGCAGGAAATTCATATTCTTATCTATCTTTTAATTGTTATAGCTCAAAATTTGATTACAGGCAAAAAAAGATGAGTTGGGTTGTGCTCTAACCGTTCTTTCGAGCAGCATATCAGCTTCAACATTCATGGCATCCATTGCTCTAACTTTAAGCTCACTTATCGGCGCGTGGATCGGAAGCTCACCGGTCAACATGACGGTGTTTACCGGACATTTTGTCTACGGAGACACAAGTTCAATCACAATGGTCATCAAATACACCTCTCTCCTCATCTGTTTCCTAGTCGCCTTCTGTTGTTTTGTTCAGTCCACAAGATCTTTCTTACATGCCAACTACCTCATTACCACTCCGGGAGAGGATATTCCGCCTGAAATGGTGAAAAGAGCTGTTTTAAGAGGCGGCAACTTTTGGTCGATAGGTCTTAGGGCTCTTTACTTGGCTCTTAATCTACTGTTGTGGCTTTTCGGACCGATACCGATGTTTGTTAACTCGGTCTTGATGGTTGTTTGTTTGTATTATCTCGACACGAACTCGGTGGTTCAGCCTCTATACCACCGGACTTTCCAGGCGGAGCAAACTGTCAAGAGGATGAGAGGAGTTTTGCCTGAACAGTTGACTTTTACATGTAACTGAGAAAAATAAAAATTATTTGATTATTAGTCAATTTGCCAACTTGGGATTTTTTTTCAGTGGATTATATCCAGTGGTGTGTTTAAAAATATTAAAATTGAATCTATGGAAAATTTTCCTAAGAAAAGAATCAATTATTGCATGAGATTTGAGTAAGCCGTACGGAGCATGTTTAGGGAGCGTCTCTTGTGCTTTTAATTATTTACACGATAACGCATTAACGAGAGAAAAAAAAAAAAGTGAGCTGTTGTATTTCATTTCTTGGAAGCAACTACTTACACATTTTCTCTAACTTTGAAAACAATTGTTATTGGGTTGGACTAATGTAATCATATTGTTTCGACTTGTCTTTTACAAAGAAAAGCATGGTCAGGTCAAGTTTATTTTCACAACAATTATATGATTGACTGAATATTGCTCATGCAATTTCATAGTAAGTTGATATGTTTTTTCTCGGAAAAGAGTATTATGAAAATAGGGGGAATTGACAATTTACCCCAAATAAGGGTTCTTGTCCCTTTACTCTTTTTTTTACTTTGGTCATTTTTGGTCAAGATTGCCCTTCAATTTATTTAAAAACTCATAGTAAATATTTTTTGAAGTGAAAAAAGTTTCCATAATTTCTAAAAATGATATCAGAACTGTGTAAAATATTTAAACATTTTTGAAAATGTTTATGATATTAAAAAAATATATTTGAAGTTTCGTTCTACAAATCTATAATATCAACGTAGAATACGTTTTCTACAAGATATTCGGAGGTCTAACCGCGGTAGAACATAATATCTACAACATATTCATACCTCTTCCAGATTTAGAACTTGATATTTACTAAGTACTATAGACTCTACCGTTTTGTAGAATTTGCACCAAATATATTCTACACAATCAAGTATCTTCTACTACTCGTAGATTTTAAGTTCTACGCTAAACACTGCTATCTACAAAAAGTAGTTTCCGTGTCCTACGTGTTTTTGTCTAATCTACACCCTGCATAAGTAGTGTTCTACTAAAACCATGTTGTCGTCTACGGTTTGTAGAATTCGTCTTATGCGAAAATCGAAAAAATATTGCAACTAAATATTTTTCAAATTTTTTTTTCCCTTTTTTGCCTCCAACTATCCCAAAATAACTCACAACACATCCCTGACATTCTTCCTCTCCTTCTTCCTCTCCTTCTTCCTTCCTCTTCTTCCTTCCTCTCCTTCTTCTTCTCCTTCTTCCTCTTTAATCCTCTATCTTTAATATGGTACACGTATATATAGCTTATGGTTCATGGAAAAGATGTGAAAGTATATTTGTTAAATTTTAATTTAAAGAACGAAAATGGAAACAAAAGATTATCCAATTAAAAAGAATGGCAAAAATGAAAAAAAAAATGCCAAAAAAGGGTAATGGAACAAAACACAAATGTAAAAAAGTACATGGACAAGAACCCTTTCAATTTGAGGTAAATTGCCGATTCCCCCATGAAAATATTGTATAGAGAAGTTCAATCAGTGGAGATTTTAGTGAGAAATTTTCAAACTTCTGTTTACTACAAGAAAAAATTGTATATAGCAACAAATGAGCCACAAAATAAGTCGTGGCTAACACAAAATAGCCACAACGCATACCAATTTAAAATTTTGTGGAAAACCGTAACAAGTTGTGGCTTAATAGACACAAAAGCAACTCTGTAACTATTTGTGTCTTATTTTACCACAAATAGCCACACCAATAGATTGTGGCTAATAAGTCACTTATAACCACAAAACTTATCGTGGAATAATAGATACGAAAAATGTTTTTTATCTATTTGTAGCAAAATAAGAAACAAAAATAATTGTACCACACTAGTCATAAACACGTTTGTGGTTATTTGTAGCTAAAATTATTTACCGACTAGTCATATCAAACAATTCATAATTAGTCAAAAAAAAATGTAAAGATGGCCACAAAACAATTCATAGCTATTTGTGTATATATTTGTTTTGTGGCTAATTTGTTGCTTTCTGTGGCTTTGCACATATCTCCTAAACCCTAAATTAAACCCTAAATTCAAATGTAAAACTTAAACTCAAACCTTAAAGTGTAAATCATAAACATTAAACCTTAAACTCTAAACTATTAAAGATATATTAAATCATAATTAACCAGAAATTTATAAAATCACTTTAAACCCTTATATCTAATACCAAAAAGCAAAAATAATAATAACACTTAAAAATGGTACATTTGCTTTTGTCATTTTTCAGCATATGTATATCAAAAATTTGTATAGAATTGATATATTATCCAAAATTTATAAAATTTCATAAAATATTCAATTTAATATATTTCCAAATCATAAACTCTAAACCCTACACAAAACATATGTTATACTTACATACATGTACCAAAAACAAGATAGAACACTTATAAAGCTTTTTCTTAAAAGAAGAAAAACAAATCAGATACTATCATTTTTATAAATCCTAAACCTCAAATCTCAAATCCTAAAACCTAGAACCATACCCTAAACCCCAAATCTCAAATGATCAACACTTTAAACAATACCCAAACACAAAACCCACAATACTCTAAACATTACCCTAAATTAAACCCTAAATTCAAATAGGGAGTATAATATTTTGCAAATAGGGTTGACCATGAGTGTGAAATGTCAAATATTGACATTTTTTAAGATATTTAGTTTTTTTCCTCCATTAATCGAGTAAACTTTAATGCAAATTGCAAAATACGCTGAACTTGCAAAATGTAAACATAAAATTCTGGCTTCCCATTGGTTAGTTTATAGAGACAAGGATCATCCTTTGTTTTTATTATCAACCATTTATTAAGTTTAATCCAACGGATACAATTCTCTATTTCTATTTCACTTCATGCTTCTCATTCTTTTTTTTTATCACTGGAAGCTCAAAAACACCACAATATCCAGATCTACTTCTCCACTTCGTCTCATTTTTTCTCTCTTTCTTCCCATTCCAAATATTGAGAGGAGGCGTTCCAGCCGCAAGAATTGCCATCTACAAAGTATGTGATAATCAAGGGTACATGAATGACCGAATCCTTAAAGCATTAATTTGATGATGCGATAGCGGACCAAGTGGACATCATAAACCATTTTTGTTTATATACATATCTCTATTACTCGCTATAAGTAGCACACAAAATAAAATAAATATACAAAAACAATTATTAAGATTATTTAAGTTACATCCTCTAAACTAAATATGTATGTAAATGCCATATCTTCAAGTGTAGGGAATTGGAACACTATAATAATAATATTATTATAATGAAAACTTGTATATAATGGAGCTGAATAATTAGTTAACGGTATCACAAACGAATTATATTTCATCAAAAAATTAGCAAAACATAAGTAAATATATCATCAAAATTTAGCAAAACATAAGTAAAGTATAAGCAAAAATGACATAAAGTTATCAAAGTGATCAAATTTTTAAGAATTATCCTATATAGAAACACTAATTTTGTATGTAGTATGGTTCCATTTCTTTTGATTATTTGCATATGGTTTCATTTCTACAGATTAGTCATAAATCGCTAAAGATCCTATAACGAATAAAAGGAGTTACAAAAGGAGTTTTAACGGATTTGCGGCCCGGCTCACTGAATCCGAACGAGAGATATTAGCTAGTAAGTGCACTAAATTAGAGAGTATTCGACCTGAATATTTTCAAAACTATTTATCAGGATTCAGATTACTATTCTTATAATCAATCTTATGGAACTATATTTAGTGAAAATATAACATTTATTTGTATTCATGTCATTCTCTTAGGTATGGAAGAAGTCGTGTAAGTGTTTCCTAGCAAGAAACTGACGCTCCACACGACTATGTCTTGGGATATCATGGGTCTCAAGAAAGATGAAGGGTCAAAACGAAACAATTGTCATGAAGAACGATACGATAATTGGCGTCATCGACAGTGGAGTCTACCTTGAATCCGAGAGCTTTAGCGGCAAAGGCTTCGGTCCTCCACCTAAGAAATGGAAAAGTGTTTGTAAGGGTGGCAAAAACTTCTCTTGCAACAAGTATAAAACCAAACCGGTTTACAAAGTTTGTGATCCCGGCGACGCAAGTTGTATATATCTCTTTATTTAATTAGTTTGGAAAAAAAATTATAGAAGAAAAGAATGACACGAGAAGAACAGTGAATAACTTTGTAAATTTTCTCATAAATACAATTGTAAAGAATTAAGGATTGAGAATGTGTTTACTATTCCAGTTAGGGTCTCTCTGAAAAAGTTTTTTCTATCAAACCAGGATTAGACGAACCAAAGTTTTATCTAGATAGGCATTATAAAACTTACATAGTGACTTTGCTAACATTCTCTGGATATGGTGTTTAAACAATGTAGCATAAACCTTTTTTTTTGTTATATACATATCTCCATTACTCGCTATAAGTTGCACAAAATATAATATAAATATGCAAACCCAATTATTAAGGTTATTTTAGTTACATTATCTAAACTAAATCTATATATTATGAAAAGAAAACTAGTCTAAAGCGTTTTTGGATAGGTTTTTTATATGACAATAAATATTTGATTTTTGAGGATTTAATTTAATCTTACATATAATTAGAGAGTTTTCTCTACATCCAAGGTATTTACATTAATAACAAAAAAAAACTACTAACATTAAATAGTATTTAAAATATTCATTTAGTACATATTTTTTATATAAATTGATATTCTTATTCAATCGTAAATTATCAAATAACTATGGTCATGTTCGTTACATTAACGCAGCGGCAAGGAGAGTGACAAAAAAATATAAAAGGACATGTCAACAACATGTCAAATTAGAGAGTTCAGAGATATTAAAGTTGGCCGCTAGCGACACAAAACACAAGTGCGGGAGCAGCTGCAACTTACGGTCGGCAATTAAACTGGTTTGCGTCTATCATCGGCGGCAGCTATATAGTAATACGATGTCAAACTTGCTCTTTCTGTTTGTTATTTTTTTGTCGCTTTCCTCTGCCGCT